TAATTTTATAGGTCAGATATCATAGTTCTGGAAATGATCCCTTTACTAAACCTCACTTTAGTGCCAAATTGTGTTTGATTTTTTTTTAAATAAATATAAATATACATCCTCTCCCCTCCCCCAAAGAAAATACCACGTTTGATTCCCTACATATCTATTTTGAATGAGAGCTGCCTGTAAAAATGCCCCCTTTATCTACTTTTCTATTACAATTTAGTTCATCAAGTATTCTTCCCCTCCCTTCTATTTTTTTTTTTTGGGGGGGGAGGGGTATCCTATTATCCATCTTCCTCATGCTCATTCTCTCCCTTTCTCTCTCTCTCTCTCTCTCTCTCTCTCTCTCTCTCTCTTTGTTTGTGTATCTTTTAATATACTCTATCTCTTCTTGCATATTAGTCAACCGATTTTATTGCTCTATCCTAAAATGTCCCATCCCCCTCCCCGAGCTCCATCTGTCTGCGGTCGTCGCCATCCAAGCAGACATGGCCATTTCCAAACCCTACAACATCATTGAATCAATCAAATCTTATTTCACCAAACACATCATTACCAACTTGATCGTACTTCCATACGTATTACAACCTCACTCATAGACCCATCCACTCAGAAATATGTATGGCAGAATAATTGAGCAAATTCCTTTCTCCAGCACTCACGGCCTATTCATTGTGCTCCTGACAAATTGGCCGTAACTGTCATTAATGAACTTGTTGTGTATTGTATTACAATTGATGACTGATTTGTGGCGTGTAATGTCTTAGCTTTAGAAGAAAATTGCAGGGGAACCCATTACTCAGCGTCTGCATGTTTGGAATTCCTATGTATAATTAGCGTAGCAGCCTGATTTGTTAATTGGGTAAGGGTGGAAATGAACTCTAGCATTCTGACTTTTTAAACTTTTAACTGTAAAGGTCACAGGCAGCTCAGTACTACATGTATGAAGACTACTTTCTAATTTTCCCTGCCATCTATCTTCCTTCTTTTTCACTCACTCTTTCCCCTCTGTATTGATATTTCCCCTATTTTAGCATCTCATACTCTCTCCTCTCCCTCTCTCTTCCTCTCCTTTTCTCTGACTTTTATCCCCCCTTCCTATTTTTTTCATACTCTTTGTCTTTTTTTACTTATTGTTTTTCTGCCTTTCTTCACGCTATTCTCTCAATTTGATTTCCTCGTTCAAAATGATTTTGTAATCCGAAAGGGAGGTACCAATCCTCAAATAAGTTGTAAATTGGAGTTCACTATCTCGGTGACCGTCCGTGACTTTCTAATACGCATCTCCTCTCAATTTCATGCCGTAGTCAAGAAGGAAATCCCTGGCCCCTCCTACTTTCATATTATAACTGTTTACAGCCAGAAGGGTATTAATCCTTATCAAAATCAACGCATTTTGCACCCTTCTACATCTCAGAATCCGCCAAACCCAATTCCATTCTGCACAGGGTCGTATCAAAAGGGCAAACATCAAATATTAACGGAGAGTGCTGTGAAGAGCACTGTGCCGGTTATCTATCCAATTTAAAATGATTGTACGCATTTTCTGTATCAGGCCGCCACAACTATATTAGGTTCATCGTACTTTTTTTTGCCTTCACACTCCTCTCCATTACCATATACACCAGCATATATTGCATGAATAATAAATCGTACAACGGCAAACCATGCTGTATTTCTGTGAGTAACACAATCACATTAGTCTAGACCTGAATCATAATAGTTGGCCCTTAGTTAAAAGGTAATTTTGACTACAAGGTAGAATTCCAATTTATGGTTAAGGCTCTGGGATGAGCATAATTATGTTGATGCACTAATTGCAGTAAACTAAATTGTTATTTTCATTAAACTTCATAGCAGTCAGTAGTCATTTTGTTAATGTTAATGTTATTGAGAAAATCATATATTTATTGTGATATGTCAGATTCATCTAAATGAAAAGTGCTTTTTTTTTAATCCATTGTGTGTTGGTAGGACATCAACTTATAATCTGTTAATGTGTTCACCTTTATAGTATGTTGCTATCTTCATTAGATAGTGCATAAAAAACATAGAGATTGTGAAACCAAATGGTCCATTGTCTGTAGTGATTCACTGCAATGAATCAGTGATTACCTTATATGTTCACATGCATTGCTTTGCTTAGTGTAGGCTGAGTTAGTAATCGTTTGTAGGTCAGCATGAAAGATAATGTTTCCACTAAAATTGATAGAATTTGGTTCACAAGTTCCCAGGTCATATTCTTGTCAATTTTTTAATATTGTTAATGCAAACTAATAATGGTGATCAAGGTTTATGATATTTACATCTATACACTCCAAATGTACATTTTCCCTATTTTCCATGTTCCCCTGACATGAATTTGTCATGAGATGATACTATTGTTTTATATTGAAACAATGAAGATCAAGGGGGGGGGGGGGAAGCTTGTCTGAGTATTACTCCATTTTTTTTCCAACTCTTTATTTTGCTGTGATATACAGAGCTCTATCTGAGAGTGCTATATAGCAGTCAGATATTCCACCAAGCCTGTTGTCGTCAAGTTTGATGCACATATCTTGAGTAATTGAAATGTCAATTTCATGGAGATGTGACGCGTGCTTTCCATCTCAAACCGAGAGTTAAAAGCAAGGGACGGAGGAGAGTAGAAAGATAAAGAGACTGATTCTATTGTTTCAGGCCACAAATTGCTAAATTGGTTTAGAATAGAAACTTTGCCAAAAGCCACTTCATATGACAGATACTGGACATGTAAAGTGGACATGTCTATATTAGTGATGACTTCCATTACATCCTAATGCAGGAAACTATCCCATTTTAGAATTTCAAAAAGTGTTCATACTTGTTCATCTTTTATGTTCAGTTGTTACCATATCGCTATCTTTTTCTAAAGCATGAAACAGTCAGGAGAAACATGAGTTTCGTATGCATTTTAAAAGCCTCAATTTCATTTATCCGATACCTACATGATCATGTAAGTAGCTTGGAATGGATGGCAACAAAGCAGCTGATGACAGAATTTATTTCAGAATAAAATCAAATTTAGTATTTTTTTAAAAAAATGCTTAAATTAATAAAATAATGGAATTTTTAAAGAATAATGCCACCTGCTTCAGATTTGCTATTAATTATTACAATCTGAATATAAAAGCAGTAGATTTAAGTTTTGATATAAAGTTCAGCCAGATATATGTTTCGGTGGACGCTCTCATTGTCCTTTTAAGAATGCCCATTTATAGAAAAGACCAAAACGCAACTAAAAAAGGAGGCACAATTTGCGAGACGTAAGAATATCGGGTATCTTTAATGCATAAGTCACATCATTTATTATTGATGCTCTCGTCCATACAGATCACAGCTATTAGAATATATTAGTTGATACCCTTTCCAAAGTGCACAAACATGCATGATGTTGATCTGTTTTGGTCATGTAGAGTAGCTTATGTAGATTACTAGTCATGCTCTAGTTGCACTTGTAATCCAGTGAGACTGTCCCATATTCCCCTATGGCTCCAATCAGGAATGATGGAACAACTCTGGAATGAGGCCAAGTTAATAGGATGGAACTTTTATAATGCCCTTTAGAAAAGAAAAAAAAAAAGAATGTGTGACTGTGTGAATATGTTCTGTTATGTAGAATCATTGATTTTTTTTTGTAAATGGGTATCTTCAATCATTTTGTTAAAGTGAACACAAAATTGTGCATTTACGATACAAAAATTTGCTTCCTTAAATATATACTCTGAAGTTCTTACATGAAAAAAATTGTCTTTCCTCAAATTCAATAGTCGGTCTACTAAAGAGTATGATCTTGCTCGCCTGAACTTTTATGTCATCTATGTTTTCAGTATTAAACATGCAGAGAAGCATACTATGAGGATGACATTGTGTTGTGAATAAATCATATAATTACGATGAGTCAACCATGTCTTGGAGATGATCGGAGTCAAATGGCTTCTAAATCATCCCACTAATGGCTGAAACATCCAGGACTTTTGTCGAACAAAAGAAATAAAGGAACTCCTATCATAGCATACTGATGTGATGATAGAGTCTGATACAAGAAATGTGAGGTTATAGACAATCAAGTTCTGGTGAGAGCTTTTTGAGAATGTTGCTCGGCGATAAATCATGGGATATTTCGCATAGAGGATGCTGTGAATTTAGTCTTGGAGGGAGGTGTAATTCCTTTGTCTGGGTGCATGCTTTATAGTTTGTAGAGGAGGAGGAGTGAGAGCCAAGGTCTATTAAAGTAGACCAGGACAATTGAGGGATGTGCCGCATCTTGAATGTTTTCTTTATGAGTCATGTGATCAGAATCAATCAGCGTAGCGAGGTGCGGTAGGATTACTCCGCTGGGCTCCCAATTCCATCTCAGTAATACCCTTCAATCCAGGAGTTTGTATCATCCCCCTTCCTCTGTCCCTGAATGTGAAAACAGTCACCAGGGAGGGCTTCAAGAGCTGGTAGAAAATTTGTTTAAGGCCATCTTGATTAGTGTGTTTTCCTATCTACTTAGGTTTCTTTTGGGTTTCTCTGCCTTACTTCTTCATCTTGGTAGTTCAATTTATCATTCTCTAGATTTGCTCTATATTCCTTACTCCTTTTTATGAATCTTACTCTTGTTAAACTATAATTTATTGGGTTTGATATTGTTGCAGACAGCAGACTTATAGTATTTGTGTTCATTTAGGCCTTGTCGTACACAAGGCATAAGTCAAAAAAAGCTTTACCAGTACTTGAGTTCTACCCTTTAAGCTCAGACTTCAGTTTAAAGAAAATAAAGTCAAGCAAAACAAAAACAAAACTAAATGACAAATACAAAAAGCATATTCATAGGTTGAATCAAAATACTGTGCTTGTCTACTTGTCTACATGAACCTGCTTTCCACTTAGCTATGTGCGTTTTACGAGCATGTGGTGGAATAGAAAGCAACATGATTGAAAAACAATTTATTTTTAACATTCATTATCATTAACTCAAATTCCTCTATTTGTTTTTACAGGTTTTAATACAGCTGAGGAGCTTTCTACTGCCAAAGAGGGGAAAAACCTGAGAGAGCCAAAGCCAGAGATAGACAGAAGTGTCCAACACCTTGACTTATTTATTGGATGATTGACTATCACAACAACCAAAAATGAACTCTTTCAGTCCCATCTGTCTGCTACTGTGCATAGCTACTCTGACACTTGCATGTAAGTAATCCATGTTGCTTCACTTCTTGGCATTTTAAGAAGATTATTCTGATACATTTCTCTCTTTTACTTAATGAAAAAATTGTAGATTAGTTTTGTCAATATTGCAAAATGGCTTCTTTGATATATACACTGTCTTATTACAGTGTATTGAGTAAACAAACGTTTTTATGTAATTCTTTCTGACTTATATGTAATAATTGGAAAGAACATTTTTAAATCAACATTTCTTTTATACACGAGCAAAGCCACTCTTTAATATCTTTCCTATATTTCTATACATGAATTTCAAATAAATAATAAAAAACTAGAAAATGCAGTGAAAACAAATTCAAACAGTATTCTGTCATCAATTTTGTTTTCTCCTTCAAGCACATGTTCTGTTGGTAGTCTTTTCCTATCAGGCATATTTTTCCAATTCAAGCTAAAAAATTATGAAGAAAAAAATGAAAAACTGCAAATTCACATATATTTTCTCTGAAATTGTCATAAAACATGCAAGTACACTTTAATGCTGCTATATTGAAAGAAGCATAATCACACCAGTGAGGCTACCTTGGCTGAAATAGGTACCTGTACAATCATTATACAAAAATTGACCATCGATCCCCCTCCCCCTCCCCTTCCACCCCCAAGAAAAGACCACCGAGTATGGTAGTATCTGAATACAGGATTAACTTGTGCAAGTTATATGTAAATAAACGTCAACAGTAATATTTCAGAATGACTTGATTCATATATATATACTTCATCCTTCACATTAGGTTATTCATTAAAGTAGCTATGGGCTCAGGCACAGAAAACCAATTAAATGTGACTTTTGGAAAATGAAAGATGTCATTAAGCAGCAATATCCTTAAATCTGTTTTATAATTACCTCTAAATAATAATAGGTCTAGAATTCATTACGACAAAAATGAGTCCAGATCAAGAGCATCATTTCACGAACTCAGTGGAGCCCAAAAGCCTCATAATTCTTTATGGAGTCTTTCGCTTTCAATTAAAGTGGATCAGGCTCCACAACAGTTTCCTATCTTATCTTCCGTCCTCTTTCCCTATACCCCTCCTCCTCTCCCGCTCAAATTGTACGCCTGTATGCCTCGGTCTTTCTAAGCTTTGTCTCTCTGTCTGAGTAGGTAGCTTTCTCTTTCTCTTCCTCTTTTTTAGTCTTTCTCCTGCCTCCCATCTTCCTATTTCTTCAATAACCCTTTTCTCTCTTTGTTACTCCCTTCTCCTCAACTGTTTTTTGAAAGCATAAAATATGATGAGAATAAAAAATAGAAGTGGATATTGGAACATTCTTATTTTTTGCACTTTTGGACAGTGGTAAAAATTAATGCCATTTATTCACCTAAAAGAAATATTTTACAATTATTTCTAGCAACCCCATTTAAAAGAGAAAAAAAAATTTAGAAAAAAAAATTGATTGATGCAGCTAAGACTGAACAAACATTCATTCCTTCATCAAACAGCCAACAAGTCTGGCAATCATATCAGTTTCCATAGCAACCCCTCATTATCGCATAAAGAATTAGCTCTGTACCAAGATAATACCCAACGCTTTTATTGGGTTATCTATCATAGTCAAGCATGTTTACTAGGGTTCTGATCATCCCCTGTGCCCACTACTTCATCAAGATGACATGGAAGTCGCCAGGCGGGACAAATATTTGTTTCTCTTTGACCAAGTGATTAGTTTTTAATGACTACCTTGGTTCAAATGAATGGACTCATGCATTATTCCTCTCTCAAATACAATCATAGTCACCATGTCTCCACTGCTCTTTGGAAGTAAAGGCAACCTAACATATTCCCCCCCCCCCCCCGAACTCCGGCCCCACTCACCCCCCCCCCCCCCCCCCAATCTACTCACTCAAATACTAGTGTGAATACTCGACATCAGGAATTTATTGACTTTAGGTCACTGCAGCTCCATTATTCATGTTCAGTGTTCAATAATACTGGAAAAATAAAGGGAATTTAGGGACAAAGGGCAACCCTTTGTTTTCCTCTGATGATGAGATGTTCATTACCAGGTTACCCAATCATTTCCATGGTAGGTCATACTACTCTATCAAATGATAGCAATATCAACAACAACAAACGCAGCAGCAATAACAACAACAAAAACAACTAACATGCTACGCATTAAAAGAAATGAGCATATATATTCTTACTTGTTCATTTCTGATGAATACATCTTTACCTTTTTCATATTAAACAGATGTATATTAAAATTTGTCTCCATCACATGTAAATGTAGATTCTTATCTATATAGTTGATGTGTAAACATTCACATTGTTCTTTCATTTTAGAAAATACTATCATAGGCTTGTTAATTGTTTAGGTATATACATTTGAAATTACATTTACATTTATATTTTTCCGTTGTACAGTGGGAAATCTCATATTTCATTTTATTAAACATGTTCCTTTATATGATTTCATCAACAAAACTCAAATCTGCCCCCCTCCCCCCCCCCCCAAAAAAAAACGAAACTATTCTTTGTTGCATTTCTATGTGTGAAATTTAGAATTTAGCGTGTGTAGTTTTTAAAGTTCTTTTGTTTTTTCATTAGAAATCAAATGATACAGATCAACTGTCTTCTGCATTATCTCATGAAATATTCTTTGTATATATGATGTATGTTATTTTGCCTTTTAACTGTATGTCTCTTTTCTTTTCACAGCTCAGTATACCGAATATGTCATCCCTTTGCAAATAAATCCCGCCATTTGTTTTAGTTGGGGGATGATCTGTAGTTTGCTTCCTTGTATTGTTCTATGACAAGCAAATTCCCAATATCCCAATATGACAGGGCAGTAAAGACATTTATTTCAGAAGAAACATATTCTCAACCACTGCAAATATATCATTTAATGCAACAAGACCTTACAGGGTCAAAATCCAAAAAAAATATTTGTGAGGCCACTTTTTAAACTATGTGGTTCTTGTATTTTGTGCATTGCATCACATTACCAGAAATGTTATTCAACAGTTACCTTTATGATTCTACACTCTAAGGTCTTGTCACGTGGTAAACTGCCACAAAAAAGGGGCCACAATTTTTGTTCTTGTTATGAATTAATGAATGAATGGGTAAAATTGACCTCATCCCTGCCCCCTAATATTTGTTTAAAGTTATGAATTAATGAGTGAAGGGGTAAAATTGACCTCACCTCACCCCTCCCCCCTAACAGTTGTTTAAAGCTATGAATTAATGAGTGAAGGGGCAAAATTGACCTCACCCCTACCCCCTAATATTTGTTAAAGCTATGAATTAATGAGTGAAGGGGTAAAATTGGCCTCACCCCTCCCCCCTAATATTTGTTTTGCTGCTGAAGACCTGACTAGCAGTAGTGGGAGAAATAGATTTCAAATTATGTGTTGCTTTAATAAATACCATGCAACCTGCTAGGATAGTTCTATGATTTTATTGTGATGATTACTATTTCTTGTTTGTGATGATTATTCTTGCTTTTCCTGCTGCCATCCTCTTTGAAATCAATTTTTTAGTTTTCCCAAGAGTAAAAGCCCAAGTGCCAAGTGAAGGTATAAGTTTCCCTCAATTATTTTTGTCACTTTATATTATTTGCTTTGCCAATGGATCTGCTTATTTATGGCTGAACCCACATTGCATGTTACTTGTTCTTCCTTTTATGAATTATGTTGTGTGTTTTCCTTTGCTTTGTGCAATTGGTTCCATGTGTCTTTTCAGGTGGCATGATACGTAATGCAGGATTTCTTTTTATTAAACCTGTTTTTTCTTTTATGTTTGCTTTGCAAATGCAAGTACAGAAACAGGGAATAAAATGTTAGGAAACTCATCTTTTGAAAATGAATTTTTCACTCTGTGTTTCGTTTCTTCACATCCTTGCTGCCCCCACAAAATTGTTAAGTCTGATTAACTTTGATTTAAAAGAATATTTAAGAAAAAATGTTGTCATGGCAGGAGACTTTTGAATGTTTAAAGGGCACTTTGAAAGGAATAACAGAATATGAATATGATCATTAAAAGAAATATGGAATATGATATGATCATAAAATATAAACAATTGTTTTCAAGATTGTGATGGGTTATCATTATTTAGAAAGAGGAGAAAATATGATTCTATCATATACTCACATGTATTATGTGCTGGGTATCAAAAGGCTTTAATATGTATCATTTCATATGTAGCTAACATCCTTCTAGCATTCAGCAGATCTGTGTTTGATAAGGTCTGTTCTAGATATCTATTTCTTGATGGAGAGCTGCCTCTATATATTGTGCATTTGTGCTTTATCTTCTGTTATGTTCTTTGTGCCTTTTTTATATTGAATATACAAGTTTACATGGAAAGATATTCATCATTTTTTTTTGTCATTCATTCCTTAAAGACATTGATTCATGTGTGGCATAACTATTGTATTTCATTTTTTGTCATACATTTCTCATGATTTCCTTCCATTTCAGTATTTCATCAATTCATGATAACTTGTTTTTTGATAAATACATCCTTATTCATTTAATATTCAGTTTGAAGTTCTTACTAATGATGATTAATGGATTATCAATTTTTGATAAGTATTTATCAATCAAACTTGGTGAAAATAAATATATTTGATTAAAGGCCACATGCATGCAGTGGATTGTCAATGTGCGGCTATAAGTATGTTCATGTAATGTACTGTACATCAGTGGGAAAAAAATTGTACTGGAGCACTGAGCACTGGAGCTCTTGAAAAGTTGAATACAGCTATGGTAACAAAACAATACACTATTATAATGACATGCGTTTTTTCTGTAGCTAGTAAAATTTAAAAAGAAAAAAGAAAAACATGTAAAGCTCCCATGGACAATATTATTTTTTCCTCTGATGTACATGTAACAGGATAACCTCAAGGTAATACAAATTCTACAAAATGGGCAAAAGCTTTTATGTGCTTAGCATCTAGACATACAGATTGTGATAACCAAATTGAGGCTCATACATGAAAATGGAGAGCCAAGGACATGACCTTAGATAGATTGATGACAAGATTTACCAAACTCAAATTTGGGTTAAAATGCCTGATTTTTTAATTGCTGAGGTAGCAGTACTATATGTAAGGTAAGGACTTAATTACAGAGGAAATGCAAAACGTTTAGACTGTTGTCAATTAACCATTTTCATGATTTTATACTTGTTCCTAACAGTTTGATTTAAAGTACAACTACTTAAACTTTCATAATCTCCACTACAAATGATGCACTATAATACTGTTTATCATATCTATCAGAGAGAGAGAAAGAAAGAAAGAAAGAAAGAAAGAAAGAAAGAAAGAAAGAAAGAAAGAAAGAAAGAAAGAGAAAGATGGTGAAAGGGGAGAAGAGCATTAGGTAAAATAATCAGGAAGTACTGGATGTTTTTGAAGATAATTCAGAAATATACTCCAGAGAGATTGATGTGAAAGATATTGAAGAGAAGAGAGAAAGTTGGTGAAACATGAGTACAACATAAAGTCAATAAACTTGTACAATGATTGAAATAATTGTTTTAAGCCCTCTTTATGGGTGGTTTGACTGTGATATTCTAATAGATCCTCACATTCCTTTCTTTATCATCTGAGGAAAAAATAAGTCAAATTAAGCAAATATGAATAATGTGCAAAAATATGCTTCAAATGGACTCATATCTGCTATTGATCTCAATACATGTACTTATTTGATTTCTGATGTAAAAATAGTCAATCAAGGCACACAAACAAGAATATGATCATCTTGGCATTTGTTCCTCTACGAATAATTGATTAAAAAAGACGGCTGTTGGTATCAGAAGCAGGTGGGAAAGATCATGGCTAAGGAAGAGGCCGTGAAACGAAAAAGCCCAACCGAAAAGAAACAAAAACTTTCATTAAGTGCATTTTGCAAGCTCTCCATGGTTTTGTAATGGTACGGAAGTGGTTTGTAATTTTGGGCGGAAATTGTGCCTGGCATAGCACAAAGGGTGCATTAGCAACTTTCCATTAGTGAGTTTATGTTTTTGACGCCAGTCGGCCGCTTTGCTCAACGGTATTAATCTTGATTCATTGGGCTGACAAACGAGAGTGATTACACCTTGACTGGTTCTCTTCCAATCAAAATACATCACAATATAAAACGGACTGGGAATACGAGGGGCTGCATGGGCTGAGGGTCTAGCAAGGGATTTTGCTCTGCTTGGCTCGATCAGCCTTACTGTTATGCTCTCCTATTTACTGCATTTGTTTTAGTACATATATTAAAATTAAAATATTCAAAGGTTATTTTTCATTAATTGGTACAAAATATGAGACATGGAAGGTTTTTTTTTTATTATTATAATTGTTGTAAAGTTCAGTCAAAGACATCAAATTCATATTTTTTCAGTATTGCTTTGTGCCCCTTTTCTTTAATTATAATACTTATTAAATGTGTAAAAAAGTTGTCTTTAGATAGGGTCATTTAAGTGGGTATGAAGGTAGATTTTTTAAATAATATGGTCAATGAGTGTTAATGCACATGTTAAAACAAAACAGCGAGTGACTTCTCATCTGTAAAGAATACTTGTCCGTTGATCATGTTACATTGAATTATGCATTTGAATAGTAATCATTTTCTTGCTCGAGACATATAATTTCTTTCACAGAGTAGAGATAATCAGAATATATCATAAAGATCAAATTACAAAACATTGCCCTTTGAAGACCACCCTACACTACCATTTTGACTAAGTCTATTTATTTAGAAGCCTCGAAGCTGGCCCCTTCATAGATGTGAGAATTAAAACAATCCTTGGTCGATAAGTGTGATGTTGGCGCGTGTTTAGATTGCCTCAAATTGCTGTCCTCACGGATCCCTCGCAATCCAATATTCACGTGCTATTGATCAATATATTTGTTTAATATCTTCCCCGATTTGTTTTGAAATGTCAGGGGGGAATCGGATCCCAGTAAAAGGGGAAGGATCTAATGTACATAGTGTTTTAAGAAGTCTAGGGCAATATTTATCTAGGTTTCCTTACCCCAGCAGCCCATGTGACTTCATCCCTGTATTTTATGCGCTGTATCACAAAGCAGATGACCACGCATTACAAAATTGGGTGAAAAAAGGTTAATGATGACTCTTACAATGCAATCAAACTACATTATGAGACAGATGTCAGTTTCACCAATTATTTCTTTAGACCATTATAAATTTGTGTTGTATTTTACAATTCATTTATTTATATTTATATATATATATATATACATACAATTTTGTGAGTTGCAGTTTTTTAATCTAGTACTGTCGACTACTGGAAAGATCATTGGGGTCTGAATTCAAAGACTAATTGGAGAGAGGAATTATTCATGAGTTTATGAATTTGATTATTTAATTACTTTCTTATTTGAAGGTTCCAAAGAAAAGCACAGTATCTTCCTATTCAATGCTTATCCTAGTAACTCTGAATCCACCCCACCCCCAGCTGGCATTTCTCAGCAGTTACGGACTTCTAAATCTAAGACAGATTGCAAAATTAAATCAGATTTCAAGGTTTGTCGCTCCCAATTGAGATGATCGTACTTGTGGGGGATGAATGGCTAGAGTTCAGATGATCATCATCGAGACCAAAAATTATTAATCGAGAGGAAGAAATTGAGAGTTATACGGACAAATAAGTATTCACTTCAATGATTGGTCTGTAATGAGGTCCCCTGCTAGCAAAGTGCCAATGTTCACACCCATATGTACGCCACCTGCCATTAGCGAAAGCAAAAAAAAGAAATTAATAATTGAGAAAGCCCAGAGGAGTTACTTCTCATTGCTTGATGAATGTTTTTTTTTTCTTTTGCATAGTGCACAGTTTGACCCAGGCAGAACACATGTCTTGTATTTGGATCTAGGCTAATATTAAATTAATATATGGGGAGAGGCTTGATAATGTATCATGAAAATGCTGGTAACTCTATAATAACAATAACAATAGAACAGTTCTTATATAGCTCATTATGAAAAAAGGTTTCTATGCACTTAGGGTAAAGTGACAAAGAAGTGGAACAAAAACAAAACCGGCAAGAAAATCAGGAAAATTTCTTTTTTGAATGAATGCAATCAATTAACTAAATATATTTCAAGAGCAGTTTTGAATTGTTGATTTGTTTTTTTTTTCATTAAATTTTGTAAATTAAGTTTATGATTTTATTGGAACTTGTGTGTCTGTGATATTGCGATGAATCTTCATAGTGTGGAGTTGTTTGAAATTTCATAGGGTCACGGCCTTCCCATTTTATCATTGTGCTTACAAAGTCGATGACATGAGAAATTACATCAAAATAATGTTGTGAAAAAAGGGTTTTTGTAGTCCTCAGTTATACATGTCTTATAGACTTTGATCAATTTATAATTGCTTTAATTAGTTTAATTCAGCACTTGATATTTTCCAAAGGACAAGAAGCAGAATAATGAAAGAATAATGAAAAAAAGGCTACAGCAAACAGAGAAGTGATAAGGAGAGAAAGTGAAAGGAGAGAGAGAGGGGGAGAGTGAAGAGAGGCAAGATGAGAGAGAGAAATTATGAACCTTGGATAAAACAAAGAGAAAGAGATGGAGACAGGTACATAGATAAAGAAAAAAGAAAATAAAGAAAAAGAAAGAGGAACCGTGAAAGAGACAAAAATCAGAGACATGTTTGAGGTTAAGTTGAAGAGAAAGTGCTGGGAGTATCTAGCAGTATGGAAGTATAGAGAGCTGTTTTAAATGGGTAGTGCCATCACCCTTTTGCTCCTTGTAACAGGGTGGGGTTTATTTAGGGGTGTAGTGGCAAAGTAGTAGTATTGCTTGTAATAATAGTACATGTAGTAGAATTAGTAGCAGAATAAGAAGTAGTGGAAGTAGATGTAGTTACATGTGTAGAAAGCAGCAGAAGCAAGCACACAAATGACTGTGTTCTGTATCTTGTCCAGTATGTTAACATTATTATTTTAATTTTTTTTTTTGTACTCTTCTAGATGATGTTCCACCTTCCATAGTGGAGCAGCCTGAATCGATTAATGGAGACACACGTTTACCATTAACTCTAACGTGCCGAGCTACTGGAATACCAGAACCCTCGTAAGTTTCACACATGGAAGAATATTAACATTGCATTTTATGATTGGTAGATTCTCAAACAAACATTTTGTCAAGGAAAAAATATAGGTAGAACATTCTATGCAAACAACGTACAAGATGGTCTTAAGCTTTTGCAAATGACTATTAAAAACGACTGTAGTTTCTTAAAGATGGTTTTGGGGTAATCCCTATGTGCTAGAATGCATTACAATTCTTTGAAATTTCCGCCTAATGCGTATACAAAGGTGGCCTGCCGCAAAACTCAAAAGGCTTAAATTGAGGGACACGATATTATTTGGGATCCTTCAAAGCATGACCTGCTAGAGATCGGAGAGTGTACAGTTTGGATAAGAAGGAGACATTTTTTTGAGAAAATTTCCCCCTGGGATGGATACATTTGTAACCACTTTTGTAATCATGTTTCAATGATTTAATTCTAATACCAGGTACTACTGGTACAAGGATGGTGCTTTATTTGACGTGGACAACAATGATCGCGCTAGCCTGGATGGGGGAAACCTAGTGATTGAATCATTAACAACAGCGGACGATGGACAGTACCAATGTTTTGCTAACAACAGGCTTGGAACAGCAATGTCCCAGAAGATAATGACATCATTGGCATGTAAGTTGATGCTTCATAGTATATATTTTAATTGAAAAATCATATTAAAGGTTGTTTGGTGAAGCACAATATCAAGTGTTGTTCAAGTGCTTGTTCAAAATTGGTGTCATTCTATTTGATAGAAAGTTGGGATGTTAGGATTGTTATATAGAAATATCTACTGCTTTGAGAGGCTTGGCTGTTTTTATATGCTCAAGGGTCCCGAGAGCAAATCAAAACAGCCAGACCTCGAATATTAAAGCAGTCGATGTCTTTTATATACTGAATTCAAACAAAAATCTTTCAAGAATTCTTACCTTATTCTTTTATTGAGTAAAGATTGGTTAAAACATCACAGAAAATCTAAGAAACTGTCTGTTTATCTTTGCCGGAAAAATGACTGCAATTTTCGATCAGTTGGGAATAGAAGACAAAACGTACTGTATGGTGTCCGCGCTCACTCAAAGAACATTTTAACACGTAAACCAATGAGTATCGCAGTAAAATTTTATTATTTTCAAGGTAGCCAGAATTTTGAGGGATTTTACTCTTGGACTATTAAACGGTTTAGGCATTTTTTGTTTCTTTACGGGAGTGGCTAAAATCACGACTCCAATTTCGAACAATCAGATGGCTGGATTTCTTAAGTCAGGTATATAATATACTGTACGTAATAGAGAGTTGGGATGTTAGGATTGTTATATACTCTATGTAATAGAGAATTGAGATGTTAGGATTGTTATAGATCTAGGATCATTGGTCAGTTTTGACGTAGAGTATTGAGTCATAAAACCTGCTTGTTTCTTTGCTGTCTCCATTTTTATCTCCAGTCATGGATCAGTTTGAGAACACTGAACCTGAAACGGTACAAGTGGATCAGGGAAGACCCCTGAAGCTGCAGTGTGGTGGAGACCCCGGTGTTCCTAACGGCAATCCTGCTCCCTTGATCTACTGGACCGATGCAGCTGCCAAACCCACACCCATCACATACAACGCGCGGATTAACCAGGATCCACTAGGGAACCTGGTCTTTTCGAACGTAATTGAAGACGACGCTAAAGGCTACTACTGTCAAGCCATCAATAACGTTGTAGGGTCATCCCAGAGGTCACCAAAAGTCACGCTGGCGGTATCAAGTAGGTGTAGCAGTTGATGTACCTATTAACATAGACACTGTTAAACCAAAAAGTTTTGCACAATTCGGGACAATTTTGTATTATAGTACCACAATTGACACAACACTGAATATTTACAATTTGTGAAAGTTGCTTGCTGTGTGAATGGCTGTTGTTTACAATACATGAAAGCTTCTGGTTTCAGAGTAATACAAAAGGAGGAAATTTAGACTTGAAACCCTCCTGTCTTGTAGGTCCCGGTTATTTCATTAATATGCATTTGTTGTTGTTGTGTTATCCTTCATCTTCTTTCAGTGACCTCAAGTTCATTTCATCAATTCATACATATTTAATCGCACCTAGATACCCCCTCCCTCCATTAAAAAAAAAAATCCATTTCCATTCTGCATTACATTATCCTTTCCCTTCCCCTTCTTCACGTACTTTGGTATTAATTAGTGGACTAAAGCATACTAAGATAAATCAATAATTCAATGATTTTAATAAGTTCCAAATATATATCGACCGTAGATGAAATTCCTGCACCACTTATTCCCTCCATTTTTTAAATATGAATGCATTTGACTATGGTTCGTTGTAATCCGAGAACAAGTCATATAACTATTAACTTGGAATGTTTTCTAATGGTATTATAGAACTATAACTTAGGATCGTGTTTATGGTAGGTTTGGTTAGATGTAGTTAAGGTAGTCATATGCATTTTATATATATTCAGCTGTACAAAAGAAAATAACTCAATCTTGTTCGTATCTTGCACTATACAGCCAGTCCGAAGCACTTATGATAATGAGGTTTTACAGTGAAGATGTATTTAGCATCTCGATCTTGAATGATTTACTTGCAATTTATATAACTGAGCAAAAATTTTCAGGGTTATTTTGCAGCCTCCTGCTTTCGTGAGGATATAGACAGCATTATGTTCAGTTATCATGGCAGATGGAATTACAGAAGGCAATGATGAAGAAACTGCATTCCTCATCTTTAAAATGAGACCAAAATCATGCAAAATTATCAAAATCAGAAATTGGAACAACCCCATGCATCGCTCATTACGTATTCAAGCACCAACTGTTAGTGCATACGTATTTGAGTGCATAGAAATGAATTATCACACACTGCAAATTGACTGTATAGTGCCCCTTTCTTCCTAGTGGAAATCTATTATAACACTACTGCAAGTGCATATCGTGGTAAATGAAGTCTTAGAAACACCCCTCAATTAATGCTGAAATAAACAAAAGAAATGTCAAAGCTATGCAGAAAAGAATGTACCGGTACTTAACACTTGTAGCAATGATTCTGAGATAACTCATGATGAAACCTCACTAGATACAGTTGTTGAAATGGTAGTGTATCTGTCTCTCTCCAAATCATTAATCGTTTAATTCTGTAATGATTAATGTTCGATTTGCATATTATATTTGATTGTTTTTGTTTTTGTTTGTGTGAACGTCTGTCTTTTTCTCCCTTCTTGTTAATTCTTTTTAGGGGTAGAAGTGTACCAGATTTTTACTTTAGAATTCACCAAAATCTCTATCAGAATATTTTCAACAAATAACAAAAAAAAAACATTGATAAGTAGTACAATTTTTAGAAGAAAGATTTAATAACATGTTGGTCAAATCGGAACACTTTGAGATAATTATACCTTGGCCATTTTAGTTTTTAAACCAGGCGCTGACTTGTGTTTCATGTTTTTACTCAGCCAACACACAATGTCTACCTGTGGGATGAAAGTTTGTATTTGGATTCAAAATTGTTGGTTTTTGTCTGTGTATAGTTTCTCAAAACAGTATTCTCATAGAATTTTAACCACTATCTAGACTGAAAAATCAAAAGTTTGAAGGCAAAACAGACCTTTTTGGACACAAGTATCTATTAAAGGGATCCGGTAACTTTGTCTCAGATTCTGAAACAAAATTCAGGATTTAGCTCATGATGCAATGATAATTATAAACCTTTAGGTCATTCAGGAACCCCATGACTTTTACAAGCCGATCGCCTGTCTGATTATCAAGATATTTATGATTGGAATTACAAATTTTGAAAATCGTTCGCCTGACGGTTTTCATAACACTACAGTATATTGGGGAAAACGAGTATGGTAAAACCGGTCACTCAAATTTTTTTTTACTTTTTTGAGGCACTTCTTGATCATTTTGAAGCGCAATTTTTGCAGGGCTTCAATATTACACCATATCACAGACACTGATAACACGTAGGGCCGTGTTTCTCAGATTTAACATTGTTAAACGATCCCTTTAACATACATCTTTGAATGAAAAAAACAAAGTACATATGTCTTTTGTACAGATGTTAAGCTGGAAATTTGACTTAGTGTTAAAAGTAGAACCTTTCTGACGCGGAGCTTTAGATATGCACAAAATTTTCCCAGATGTCCTATATATAGAGATGGCTATATCAAAATCGGTGCTAGAGTCCCTGACCAGTGCAACACAAACGGGGTCCATTTGCACAAAAAAAGTTATGACTCATTAAGTGTAGAAATAATCCAGTTTAATAGCTTCATTGGCAAGGTACAAAAATCATCTTTTGATTTACATGGTATTTCTATATTTTGGATACTGGTAGTTTGAAAATTAATACATCAATTATTAATCTCAGAAACATGGTTTGACATTGCAATGCTCTCCCTTCCACAATCTGTTTACATCCCTTGGTACTCTAATTGTTTGTTTGTGTTTTAACTGTCTGTATTGCGTAGTGAACACTGTGAACACTTGATCCTAGTCTGTTACGAATGTTGTTCTTTCTCAAAAGATTGATTGTTTGACGTGCCTCCTTTCTGAACTAATCCCCCAAACCCTTCCCTCTCTTCTCTCACGGTGCTTGGATATTTGTTAATTACGCCCTTGTTTCGCGAGTGTAGCCGATGAGGAAGAGATTCAGAACAACCGCAACAAGAAAGAAACAGCCCCCAAATCGCTGAGGTTCCGCCGTCAGAACTCTCGGTTCACGTTGGGGGCTGTTTCTGACAATTTTTATGATGAACCACCGACATTACACATTTCAAAAAGAGGTACCAGCGAGCTGCAAGTGCAAGAAAGGAATGACCAATGGGCCTTCATGATGCATTTTGTGGAATGCCTAACTCTCCCCTTTGTTTTTATTTGATGCCTGATGTACAGGCATCATTCCTTCTAATATTCTAACCTTTCATACAAATAGTCAATATTTTTCTAACACTGTTTTATGAATAGCGTCCTCTATAGGTCACAGTGGTACTCAGTAAATGCATTTTGGTTTTTGAAGTTTAGCAAGATGGCAAATTGGCAATGTAGATGTATTCATTTTAAACATATATAGTCATATACCTCTAGGAGAGAGATGGATTTCATAGGATGCATCCTTTGACCAACATTCATGAGGATTTCAATAAAATTTTAAATGAATTTGATAAACGTAATGTGAATATATCTAACCAATTTTTGTTTTGTTCCCTGTATTTTGCATGCACCTCAGACTAACATAGCATGCTAACACTACATGCTAATGATGCATGTCTAGGGGCCTACCTATTTTAACAGGAACTTTTGTTTTTAAAGGGCTGATTGATTCCCTTTTCTGATTCATCCACCCCCCCCCCCCCTCTCTTGTGTTCTCTCTTTCATTCTCTTTCTCTTATATGTTTGTAAGTCCTGTCCTTAGAAACTTTTTTTTTTTTGTTTTTTTTTTTTGTTGCATGTATAACATGTTATGTAAGCCTGCAAACTGCGTGATTTTAACCATGAATTAAAAAAATATATAACAGAATGTGTTAAAATTTAATCTACTAGTGTATTGCTTCACATGAAGATTATGCATGCTGATGATTAAAATAATTTATTTCAAAAGGCATTGTCCTTGTAAATAATTTTTCTTTTTCGTATTCTCTATCCCATCTTTCTCTTTGATACGATCCTCTTCTTCCATCCACAGTTCTTCTCTATCATTCTATCCCACTCTTTTCCCTATCTTTCTCTTTTTCTATCCTTCTGTCTTGCCATTCTTTAATACCACATACTGGTTGATATGCCCTGGCTGTAACTATAACCAGATACTTTGTTTATGAGAATCATGTCGACTGCAAATTAGCCACACTACTACCTTCAAACATTTTATTCATGTCAATCGTAAATTCATGTAGCATCAATTTGTATATTCTCAAAAGTTTTATTGCAAAGATAACCAAGAGTTTTAAATTAAGTAATGTTAAAATTACTGTTGAAGTTCTAAAATCTTCATCTTCATAGTATTTTAGCCATCATTGTAAAAATGCATCTTAATCAGGGAATAATAATGCACATATTTTCATTAATATTTGGAACAAAATTATACCATTTTGATATAGATTTGTTTCTTGCATAAGAATACTTGGGCATTATAAGTAGTAAGTAGTAAGTAGGAAGAAGTAAGTAGTAAGTGCTAAGTAGTAAGTAGTAAGTAGTTAGTACCGTAGTAAGTAGTAAGTAATAAGTAGTTAGTAGTACGTAGTAGGTAATAAGTAGTAAGTAGATAGAGTAGTAGTAGTAGTAGTAACAGCAGCAGTATGATCACCGCCTCCATCATCATTACCATCATCATCATTACCTTTATGATTTTTTCAGTGAAAGAGTAGTAGTCTTGTAAGCAGAAGATTCTAGGTTTACATGTAAATCCAAGTTGATGTACTAGTGTCTCTTGGGAAGGCATTGATCTTCAATTACCCAGCCCCTTGGATAGGATTTGAAGCAGTGGGTTCACATGTTCTTCATTTACGAGCTTTTTGCTTTTATATTTGATGACTGACCAATCATCAATATTTCCATGTTGGAGTATAACTAAACTTGTTTATCAATAACTGTATGCTTTCAGATTTGCCACCAATTGAAAGTGGAGCCAGCTTAGTCACTAAACCAGCAGCAAGCGAAATCGCCATCAGAACTCAGTCATTTAAGCTGAAATGCATTGCTTATGGATAGTAAGTATGATTTTAAGGTTTACCCTCTCCCTTCCTCTCTCTCTCTCTCTCTCTCTCTCTCTCTCTCTCTTTCTCTCTCTTTCTTCTCCCTCTCTCTCTCTCTCTTTTCCTTAATTTTACCAACTTCCCTCTTCCATAATGGAGATGTGTTTTGTCCTTACTTTTCTTGCATATACATGTATCTCATTTTGTAACAATATTGGTACAAATTCTTAAAAAATTCAATTCTAATGGTTTGGAAGAAAAAAAATATTGTAGGGTATAACATTGTGAGTTAGCTATTTTTGTAATGTAATTTTATTTAAAGTGCAAATCTTTGTTAATTGTCATGTCATAAGTTAATTAATTCACCTGTTTTGAATAATTTCAATGATCGGAATGCAAATTGCATACATTAGTTGTTGCTAGGTAGGACAAACATTATGGCATGTCCTACCTAACAACACGTAATGTGTGCAATTCGCATACTGACTATTTAAAATACAATTATTTGTAACAGATGAATTGAATAATTTGTAATGAAGCACTTAACAAAGATTTGTGCATTTAATATGATTACATTTTAATAATGGCCTATTGCATGAAAATTTTCTCCAGCCCAACCCCTGAAATCACATGGAAGCGAGGAGAGGAGCAGCTACAGTCTGGAGGACGAATTTCTATCGAAGAATCCGGGCAGGAGCTGGTCATCTCCACTGTCGAGAACAGTGACAAGGGAACGTATACATGTGTTGCATCAAATGAAGGAGGACAGGATGAATTTAGCACAGTAGTTACTGTGGAATGTAAGTTAAAAGTCAAATAATGATGTTTATATACCTCACTTAAGTAATCCAGCAATCTGATTGGTCGAAATTGCATTCATAAACTTTAACTGTTCCTGTAAAAACAGACCTATTTTCCCAATAACCATGGTTATTGGGAAAATAGGTCAGTCTCCATGGTTACCCTATAGGTTTACATGTTAAAAAATGGTTTGAGCGATCGAGGATACCGTACGTGTGCGAAGAATTGGTCGGTAATTTCAATACAATTGAATCTCGATCGATCTTACCGACAATTTTATCTTGCATTGTTGACATAAAGACGAAAATAAACTTCCAAAAACAAAAAAACAACATCTGCCGATAGATCTTGATCTAAGTTCGTGCCAATATGCATTGCAAAAGTAAAAGTAGGGCCCATTTAATCGAGCAGCCGCGAAGCATCCACCACTCGAAGCCGTTTTCAATCCATTTTAATCTATATATTAGAGAAAACTGCAAAGTATGTCAACAAAGCGCGATGGCCGAGCGGTATAAGACGCTGACTTTAGTTTCATCGCCTTTTGTACGCAAGAGATCGAATCCCATCTTCGACAAAAGTTTTTTTATTTTTTATTTTTTATTTTTTAGTCTATTTTTTTTCGGCATATAAAAGTATTAATGACTGCTTTAATATTCAAAGCAGTCATTAATACTATAATATGGAGAACAAAAATGAATGCCTGCAAATGCTTACCGGTAGTTGTATACTATATCCTGATAGTAATAACTACATCTGTGCTTAAAGTCTTACTCTGTCAAATGAATATGGTACAATGTTAAGTAGTTGTATATTGAGACCTTTTGTAGTAGTCCATTTTATTTTCTTCTACTTTGTTATAAATTGAACCAGTTGTTTCAGTGTTGTGGGATATAAATAAGTTGTTACGCTATTGACTTTACAGGAAATAAACTATACAAGGATATCATAAAAAACATGTATTTAAGTGAATGTCTATCTTTTATAAAACAATTGGAAAAGACTGAGCTCATAGTGATACATTTAACAGAACCATTTTGTTACCTTTCTCTTCCTTTTCGTGTATTTAGCTGCGCCCTATTTCCCAGCCCCACCCTCCGATGAAACCAAGGGACCTGGTGAATCAGTGGACATCGAATGCCGTTCCGAGGGTGTTCCAGCACCCACTGTCGTTTGGCTTGTTAACGGACAACCTTGGGCTGACTTTGAATGTAAGAGCAGCTATAGGGATTTTCATTTCAGTGTGGAACCAAGAGGACTCTCTCCATTCTAGCTGCACCTATATCTATTATAAATGTAAAAAGAACAGTTTTTCTGCTCAGATACAGAAGGGCATTATTTTAAAGTATATGAGTTAACACCCTTCAAGCTTCAAAGAGATGAATTCATCCTATTTTGTAAGATACAAATTATGTTATGATATTGAAAGTTCAAAATAGACTGAAGTTAAAGTAATAAGTATAGGGAGCAAAAAATCAGTAGTACTTAATGGTGCTACAGTGGAAACAGAACTGTTAGTAGAAGTTGTATAGCAGGATGATGATGTGGAAGTAAAGTCAACCTACATGTTTTTTTTATTTTAATAAAAAAATTATTTACAGTTTGATAGCAGAAAGGAAATTGAGTGAAATATGTCTATTGTGTTCTCCTTGAATCAAAAGTTATATGTCAGATTTTTATTTGATATTCCATCCATGATTTGTAGTAATCTTCAATATATATATATATATTCAGAAGGAATGCTAGATCACAGCTAAATACTACCCTTCACTAGGACCCTACCAAACTGATGGCATGTGTGTGGCAGACACACAATCCTCATAATTGTCTAGTGCTAATTGACGTTGTTTTAATTTTTGTGCTAGGCCAGGCGTATACATTTTTTCTTACATCTTATTTGTTGAATATTTCTCTTGAGGAAAAACTTAATAGCAGCATAGTATTACAAGTATCTTGTTAATTATCATCTGAAATCAAAGAAATGTTATGAAATTTTTCTGAAGCCTTACCAAAACTGTACAAATAAGGCCTTTAAATCTATACTTTCGGTTGTTTAGAAATATTTTCTTTCTCCTTTGACAGCCAACATAGATGCAGAAAGATGGACTGTGGTGACTGGAAACCCCCAGTTGGCAACCATATCTATCTCAAACCTACAGACAACAGACAGCAATGTGTTCCAGTGTATAGCTACCAACAAGTACAAAGAGGAACTCACCAGTGTTGTACTAAATGTAGTCTGTGAGTATACTTGGTAACTTTGAAATCCGTCCAAAATGGTACGATAGCTCAGTGGTAGAGCAGTGGTCTCGTAACCGGGAGGTCCTGGGCTCGAAACTAAGTCGATGCGCTAGTGCCCTTTGGAAATGCATTAATCCTCATTACCAAGTCCCTCGGGGAGGACTTAAAGGCGTTGTTCCCCAGGTTGCTTACTTCCAAGCATATACATCCTTTCTTTAATAGCAGTCAGGTACAACAATAACCAACCATCAATTATTAACTGTCTTAATATGGAGGAAAGGCATGATGATGTTCTTTCATGCTATAATAATGGCATGGTTTTTGTTTGGAGAAGGAGTCGTGATCAGCCTTGCACTCTTATTTTGATTATTTGATTTGATCATTATGGTACTGCCACCTCAATGGACACAACAGGAAAAGTGAGTAAATCAAATGAATAAGGAGTCGAGTGATAGTAGTATATTATAATCTGTTACTCACATTGTATATTGTTATCTCTGACATGACTTTTTATCTCTCTCCCTCCAGCCATCCCTGCTAGGATACCTAGTTTCACACCTGTGACGAGGAAACTGAGTGTTGTAGAGGATAGCTCTGCCGCATTCACCTGCCATGTTGAAGGAAGACCTACTCCAACAATAACATGGACCTTCAAGGGATCAGTGGTGAGCAGGCTGTTCAACATTCTTAACACTTCTGTTGCTTTTTTCGTATCTCTGCACACTGCATTCATATCAGTTAACAACATAAAGAATGAGAGTACTCATTTTTGCACTGATGCTAGATTTGTGAAAAGAAAATGTGACCTTTCTCTGTTATCATTTATGTGGATTTTTTGTTGTGGCTTTTAAGTATATAATGTTGGCCCAGATAAGTGTGAAAATAATTAGTTCTAATGAAAATCAGTCCTCATGAAGAAGAAGCACTCTCAGCTGTACTGTTGCAGTACCATGAGTACTGTCCCCAGAAGGTATATAATTTTGACCCAGATGAGTGAGTATCTCCAGTCTAATTCAGTCCAATATAATGGCGAAAGAGGGTCAATATTATACACTCTATGGTGACAGCACTGGCATGTGGAGGCCCAAAACTTTGAAGCGCTCTCCCAGTATCGCTACGCTCCATTACAGATGTTGAAGTTTCAAAAAAGCCCTTAAAAGTTATTTTTTTTATATGGGTCACCATGAATTGTTAATTGTAAAGTGCATTGTGAGGGCCTATGGTCCTGAAATGTGCTATAGCAGAACTTATTGTTATTATCAAGTCTATGACACACTCTCTCTCTCTTTTTCACCCCTATTATGAACCAGTTGACCAATGGGGACAAATACACCATCGATGAACCGTTGGGAAGCATAGTGATCAACAATGCCTTGGAAGTGGATAGCGGAGCATATGAATGCACAGCAGAAAACTCTATCGATGGACAAGATTATGAGGCGACGGGTAGTGCAACCCTGACAGTGCTAGGTGAGAGGTGGTTTTTTAATATTAATTTTTATTTTTTGGCTTCTTTTTAGTTTTGATTTAGATTTTCTTAGTTATAATCCCTTCTCTTATTTCTCTTGCATAGGGTTGCAAGTACCATTTTTTCTTAGTTCTGCCCAAACTAAAATTTATTATTAATTTTCTGTTGAATACAAAAGGAGCAATATCTACAGACTCCTGTGTTTGCAAGATTTTGAAATATATTGTTTACCCCAATATACTAATGTTTACTTCAAGTGGTCATGTAACCCGTCTAAAAAAAAAAGAACAATATTATGCTGATCTGCAGCATAGCACAATGAAGTTGATAAAGAGAGATGATATTCATTTTGAATTGTTTTTTTTTTTTGTTGAATTTTTTTTTTTTTTTTCCGGTATAAAAAGACATAAAATACATGATTCAAAGTTCCAAGGACCAAAACTGATCATGTTTACAAGTAATACAATAAAGTTAAAGATACAGTAAATATACAATAGTGAGCCAAACAGCCAGGTATAACAAGTACAAGATGGCAATAAAGATGAAAAATTAAACTTGTGATCTCTCTCTCCCTCCCATTCCTCCTACAACCACTGAACAGGCAAGACAATAATCACCCTCCCCCCTGCTGATCTGACGGTTCGAGAGGACACTACAGCCACCTTCCAGTGTGAGATCACGTATGACCATGAGCTCGATAAACCTGAAACCTACTGGATGAAAGACGGTCAGAGACTCGAGGCTAATCAGGTCAATATGCATGCTACTACAGGGACCCATTTCACAAAACTTGTCATCAGTGACAAATGACAGTTTTTGTTATAAGTTACTGAAATCCTTGCTTCTGATTGGTTAACAGCAGATTTGTCACTGATTTTTGTCATTTGTCATTGAAACTCATTGAAACTCATGCATGTAATAGACATAACATTTAGATAGGTCTTTGTTTGTCTTTGCCAACGACGATATCTTTCTCTCATTTTGGTTGATTTTTCATTATTGTATTGTGTCACTTGTCAGAGAAAGGAAATGATTATTATCCATCTGAGGGTTCAAATCCGAAAAACGAGCTCGTCTGTTTATTGTAGATATAAGTCCTAATCTTTATCACTGTTTGTTGGTAAAGTGATAATTGTTTTGTATCTTTGGGATGTTTTTATTTCCCTTTTTCTTCCATAATTGTTTCAGAAATTGTTTGGTTTTTTTTTTTTAAACACTATAATTGTATACACAGATTTTTTAAACACAATGCTCTGCTTAATATTTTTTCAGATACATTTGTTATAGAGATAATTGGTAGTTTTTAAAATTATAAAAACATTTAGTATTGCTCATTTTGAAATGCCTGAATAGTCTTTTTGATTGAAGAAATGAAAAAAGTTTAAATGAGATCACTGTACTAATATTAGTTCTTATTCTTTCCTCAATAGGACAACTCCTTGAGAATAGACAACGCCATGTTTTCTAATTCAGGAACCTATACATGCTTTGTGGAAACAACCCTTGATGAGAGTACAGACACAGTTCACTCAGTGAATGCTTCTGCTCAACTCGTTGTGAAAGGTACGAAAATGATATCTATCGTGACACCTTAGAAACCGTTTATTGCTCGTACCATTAGGAGCTGTTGAACTGATTCACAAGATGCCCCTGTAGCGAATAAATGTAGCTCTTCCAAATCATGACTCAAAACTAATAACGTTTTCAGTAAATATGTAAATACTGCCTTCATTGGAGGAGCCAGTGCTTATGATAGTTTGTCAGAAATATGGCACTATACAATTCTGATCATCATCATCAATTCTGAAGTGGTTTTGAAACAGCAAATGTGCTAACAAGCCCTTATTTGATAAATGTTATGATAAATTATGTCATTCAACACAGTAGAAAGAGCTTAAAGAAATTACTTGAGTTTTAACAATTTTGCAGAGCTTATTTATATATAGTCACCTTCTTAAAATAATGACCTAAGTCATATTTTCAAGATTTGAGAAAACAGAGAAATTGAACCAAACAGAATAAATGGATCTTTTGCTCATTTTATACAGAAAGGGCTTGGGGATATATGACTATTGAAATACAAATAATGCTGTGTATCAAATCTGTTTCATGAGAGGATTAGATTACTTAAGCCAATCTGCAATCATGCCGTTGTGACTTTCAGTAGGCAATTTTACAGTTCACTTCATTTATTCCCACTACATACAATATAGTTAAAGGAAATTAACACATTTCCATCTCAGTCGTCTTTGTTGATGCCTCACATTTCTTGACACAGGCCAAAAATTAAAATGGCCTAAGTCACATGCTTGACTTAAGGCCATTATACTAACTGGGCATAAGCAGTATACCGGTAAATATGTTCAATTCAGCCGACATGCCATTTAACATAGGTGGATAGTCTCGTATAGAGATGACTTGGGCACAACCAAAAAATTCCTTTTTTTTTTACGAGGGCTCTTTTCAGATTTTCCCTTAAAAAAATAGCCCCCCTTAATTATTTTGCGGTGGCTATTTTGGAGCTCAGGGGGGCTTTTTTTTTTTAAAGGTTGTATTTTTTTAAAACGCGGTTTTACCTAATTAAATTCCAAGCAAAGGCAAATATAGATACAATTGTAGCGTACATATGTCATGTAGAGTATTGCAGACATTCAGATACCCGTGATTTATTCACTTTGTGTTAAACGTGTGGCTTTATGATTTACATATACATGTAACTAAAACTTGTCAAAAGGAGTGTTTTGTTTAACTGTTCGTTTTTCATATCCTAAGAAAATATTATCACTGACACGCGGGCTAGGAATTAATTTTTTTATGGGGGCTACTTTTCCCCATTGCCTAAAAAAAAACCAAGGGGCTACTTCCTTAAAGCCATATTGTAAGCTGTAACATTAAGTTGTGTTTTTCCTTAGCCATCATACTACTAGCAACCAAATTGGTAGGTAATATGTTATTTAGTCTTTTTTTCTGTCCCAAATTTAATTGTTATCATGGACAATGCAATCCCATTAAAAAAAAATGGAGACCAACTCCCTTTAAAATTGTGTTATTTAGACCATTTATAACCATTAAATGTGAGTAAATATTTTTACTGTTGTCCCACATACCGATGTAGGGTCTATTTGTTATGCCGAAACATGCAAAATCATGGCCTTATTTTTTTTTTATAGACTCTAATTCTAAAGGCCAAGCCAAAGCTAGTTTCATTTCGTAGACAGAAATTGATGTCATCACTCATGACAATTGGCCTGGCATCGATCGTATATAAATAATTTAATTTAATTAAACAGTTGTAAGAAAGATTCTGAGGAGTAGGAACATCCTTTATATATTTATTTACGTTTTTTTTTATAACAAAATTCAATTTCTGTGTATGAAACTTGCTTTATACCGATTTTACAGGAAAAAATCCGGCATTGATTTTGCACGTTTCGTTATTACAAATATATCAGTATGTGGGACAACAGTAAAAATATACTCGCATTTAATGGTTTTAACTTATAAATAACACAATTTTAGACGGAATAACATTTTTTTTAATGGGATTGCATTGTCCATGATAAAAATTAGGGCCAGAAAAAAGACTAAATAAACATATTACGTACCAATTTGGTCGCTAGCAGTTGAGCTCTCGTCACTCGCAAATACTTATTTGCTTCATACAAGGAGCGTGCGGGCGCGCGCTGGAGCTGAGCTAGTACGTTTCTGTGTATTGTGAACGTGTGCGAACTGCGTATGCATTCATGCTGTGCACGAAACTACATCGGGGCCGGTGGCCTGTCCGGCCGCCGGGGGCTTAGGCGCAGGCAGGCGGATACCGCTGTAGATCTAGCTACAGTAGGTACGACCGCCGATCCGCTGCAACTCACAAAACTTTTAAAATGTTGATGGAAGTTTCTAGTTTTGGAGTTGGTAGTTGGAACGGAGATTTCACTCAGACACATCAATAAATTGGTTTATTAATTCATAGGGAATATCAATTTATGGCGGGGGCGATTTTTCAAGATATATTGATTTTTTTTCGCCCTCGTCTTGATTTTTACCGTGGCGATTTCAGAGGTTTAGGGGGCGAATCGCCCGTCGCCACCGTGTATTTTTTTCGTTGCTTGGGCAAAAATATAATTTTCTTCAAAATATGACTTAGGCCATTATTTTAAGAAGGTGAGGATTTGTTGTTTTCAATGTCATGTTATACAGTATTTTGGTTTTTAGAAGAAAAAAATGAAAAGTTTTATTTAAGATTTGATTTTCATTGTGTTTCTTCTAGGTCACCCTGGTCCTCCTCAGAATCTGCAGCTGCGAGCCAAGGAACAAGAGTTTGCAATGGACCTTTTCTGGGAGCCTGGCAATGACAACAATGCTCCTATCCAATATTACATCATCCAGTACGACACCAAGTGGGCAGATATGCACTGGCAATTCCAAGCAGTAAGTTCGCCTTGAAAGCATGGGACAGATTTCCCACTGTTGAGGGTCGTATTTCTAAAGTCCACCGCACACTACATGATGTTCCTGTGATCCGATTTGCAATTTTGTATTAGATAGGAGATCTAAACAAACTTCTTCTTCATTTAGTATGTAAATAAAGATCATAGTACTAACAAGCAGAATTTTAGTGCATTGAAATGTTCTAGTCAGAGTAAAAGCTAAATGTGCTTCAAATCATGGACAATCGCACTACTGGTCTGACGTCACCACAATTCTGAGCCGATTTAGCTTTTCCTCTTCCAAGAAAGCATGAAATCCCTTAAAATTTAGATTTCATTAATCATATGAATGTTCAGATCCTTGGTCATTAATATTTTGCATGTTTGAATGTTCATATCAAATGCTATTGCAAATTTTTAAAAATCGGAACATTAGGCGGTGTCACACAGAAAAATCCTGAAAAAAATCCCTCAAAAAATCCTTTCAAGGGAGAATTTTCTTGCTTCGTTAGAGGATTTTTAATGGAATAATTGATGACAGACAGCAATTAAGAGGATAAGTAAAATCCAGATTTTTGGCCTCTGTGTAACACCGCCTATAGTCAGATCGTATCGTGCAGTGGGCTCAAAGCACATTTGATGTGCATAGAGATGTTATGTTTTTCAACATCTTTGATATCATCAGCAGCAGCAGCAGCTGCGCATCATCATTGGCAACATCACCATCATCAATATCATCATCATTATCGCCATGTTCCTAATACCGTTATCCCACTTATTGATCTTAATTTCTGTTGTGATTTTGAATTCAGTTATTAAATGGTATTTCTCTCTCTCTCTCCCTCTCTCTCTCTCTCTCTCTCATTCACAGAACGAGACAGCCGCTAATGTTTCACCCTACCGCAAAGTGCTTCACCTGCAGCCGTTCGTGGACTATAAGTTCCGTGTCATTGCTGTGAACGAGATCGGGGAGTCTGAACCAAGTGCAGAGATAGCTCCAACGGTCGATCCTCAAGTTGCCCCACCCTCTAAAAATCCAATCGAAGTCAGCGGAAGTGGTACTAGACCCGAATCAATGGTCATAAGATGGCAGGTAGGTCCTCCAAAGATGATAAGATTGTAATTTTGTATTCTTAACATTTCTACTGATTATTTGGCAGTCTCTTTTATAGTGATCAAGGTATTATATACAGATGTAAAAATCAAGAATATATTTTCTTTTTATTTCCTATTTTGAATAAACAATACAAACACTTTGTGTAACTGTAGTAGTTAAAGATAGACAATGATTTTTTGGTTCTTGACAATAATAATGATAATGTCTTCTATAGCCCTGGTATTCACCAGCTCAGACGTTCATGGCGCTGCTCCAAATATGATACATATTACCCAGACCTGCCAACCAGTACGATTTAGTCGTATTTAGTACGATTTTTAGAAGCAAATACGACGGTACGATTTCCCTCGATAAAATACGATTTTCAACAAAAAAATCAACAAAAAAAAAACTTTTTTTTTTTTTTTTTTTTTTTTTTAAATTGTATTTTTTTTATTTTGTGTGTGTGTGTGTGTGCCATTTTCAATGGCAAAATGCCCATTCTGTCCTATTAAGCATCTCACAACGGCAATTTTGGGATATTCATTCGTTCATCGAACACACCCGTCGTGACGAAATCATGCATATTCAACCAATGATCCATAAAAAAAATTCTTCCTGTATGTAGGAACTGTAAGAGGCATTGATGCACGTAACAGTCCATGTTTATTTTTAAGAATACAACTTTTGTCAGTAAAATACAACTTTTGGGATTAAAGAATACAGTTTTTGAACTCCAGAGGTTGGCAGGTCTGATTACCCGAACTGCTTGTGGTATATACAGTTAAAACAACATTAGATGGCCCAAGAAATACTCATTCGCAGTGGTCATTCAGTAGTCAGTTTACATCGGAATTAGCTAGTCTTTCTACTGACTAGATGTGTCTTTAGCATTACTTGAGCATAACTTGATGGTCACTTGAATTCTTTGTTTCAGTCCATTCACCCCTTCTACTACGGTGGGGATGATTTCCACTACGAGGTTGCATACAGACCCAGGATGTCAAGTGAACCATTCGTAAAGGATACAGTATACCCAGAAAACACCGATGCTAATCCTACTGGAATCATCCAGAATTTCATCGTAAATGCCAGGAAACCTTACGAGGAGTATGAGTTCTCTGTACGATCAATGAATAGTGGGGGACCAGGACCCGAGCCAGAGATTCATTATGGGTTCTCTGGAGAAGCTGGTAAGGATGCACTTTTCATTCCTTCCTAATTAGTGTCATTTTATTATTTTTAATTCATTAAAACAAAATTCATAATTGCAGTCATACACCTCAATTTACATGGATTACAATCATGTGATTAAATAGAAACGTACACAAATTGAACATGAATGGGATACAAAAAATTAACGATCATGATAAGATGTAATCATTTTCGAACTACATCTATAAATTTGTTGAATCTACTTGTACATAGGATTAATTAATGTATACGGCTACCTCACAGGGTCCTATGCTTCATAGTAAATGCCTGCATAGATTTCCTCCCTTCGTATTCTAATTTACACCGTTTTGGTTGACATTATGGAGATATATATATATATGCCCCTTCCGGAACACTCCATCATATCCTCGCCTCTTGCCCAACCCTGCTTGATATTTGAGGAAGTTGAAATGGGGCAAAGGTGGCAAATCGACAAAACTATCAAACAAGGGAAACACAAATAGTGGCCATCGTAGACAGGTCGGCGTTGGCAGCCATTTTGATTTTGAATAATTGATTGATAGTACGCCGCCTACTCGCAAGACCTCTCGCATACCCGCCAGTACGCAAACAATTTTCTGTGGCTTTAAAAGAGTTCACCATCTGTTTAATGATTTTCTTTCTTTCTTTGTTTCCCCAAAGGGAAACTACATATGCTACTTAAATGTTATATTTGATAAGTAAAAATGTGAGTTGTAGTAAGGCCACATGATTGGTTATCCTGGAGTTCACAAGCTTATGTGTAAACAAATCCTTATGCCATGTTAAATCACATCATCCATATCATTGTGCTACAAACTGATTCCCTTCCCTCTGTTTCCTACCTACCTAGCTCCGGGTGCCTCTCCGTCAGGTGTTACAGTGGAAGCCATCTCAGCTAATGAAGTCAACGTCACATGGGAACCTATAGATCCAGAAGATGCCAACGGAAAACTCGGAGGCTACAATGTAAGTTAGCCAATCCCATGACAGGCAATGTCTCCCAACAAGTGCCATTTGTTTCACAAACAAACCTTCGCAGTGATGCATCTGTCCCAGTTTAAGTAGCTTATGTCCAGTTCAGTTTCAGTTTCAGTTTATTTTCATATTTCACATGTTGTATAACACATCATTACATTTGGCATGTTACATTTTTTGTAATCATTTTTTGGGATGCATTTATACAAACGAAAAGAATAATACATAAGACTAATTTTAAATAAAGGAAGAAATATGATGGAGCCTAAAGAGAAAGCAATGCTTGTAGATCATAGACTCCGGAAGTTATAACAATGATAGCTACGTTCAGGATGACTGCATTTGTTTTAATAGCTCCTGAAATCACGAAGAACATAAAATCTTCCCAAGAAATCATGGGTGGAAATGATGATTGAGGCTTAAAGGGACTATGTCCCATTTGCAGGCCAAAAAAATGAAAAAGTTAAATTCCAACTGCATTTGAAAGATAATACTAATTTAGAACTTCCGTAAAAAAGATGGGGCTTGAAAATTTCTTCAAGTGGGAAAATAACAACTATTAGTTGTCAAATCGACTTTAGGGCTATAGAGCCCAAAAGTAATAGTCTTGATTTTCAGACAATTGTACCGAATGGTCATACGTTTTATGTTGTGCAAAGATTCAATCAGTTTAATCTTGGCCATCACAAGAAGTGGGTTATTGATGTAGACAAATGCTCATGTACCCTTTACAACTCTTTTCATGTATGTTATTACCAAAGAAGAAAAAGCCAGTCAGTCACTCAATAGTGTCTGACGGTGAAGTCTAGCAAGTAAACAGTTTTCCTTGCATAATTTGAATATGAGGACACTGCTAACGTTTAAATTTCACAGATAGGACATACATGACATATTCATAATTCCTGCAAAGTTCTACAGCATTTGAGGTTGGCTGCAAAAGGGACATAGTACCTTTAAAGTCATTTCAGCATTATTATCAAATCCTTCCACTCAGTGCTAAAAATGCATTTGAATGCAAATTTACATAATATACAGTATTTCCTGTTGACACATGTACATGATGTATTGTCAACAAGCGAACTGTTTGATAGAACTCATCACGCCTTGAAGACATGCTTATGGATGTAACTATAATAATAATAATAATAATATTCCACTTTTATATAATGCCCAATACATCGATACAAGGATGTGTCTTAGCGCTTTACAGATACATTAATACCCCGGTCAGCAGATTCAGGCTTACCCAAATACAATGTTGCACATTCCCCACACCCTGGGGAGCATTCCTTGACATACATATATTCATGTTGCATGTCCACTGTGGTGTTCAACTACCCCCAATTCTCTTTGTCTTGCAGGTTTACTACAATGTGAAAATCGCATCCGGTCAGGATAAGCAGATGTGTGTCAAGTCGCCTTGCGTTGTAGGAAACCTCCAAGCTGCAACCACGTATGAGATCACAGTCAAAGCTTTCACAAACGCTGGAGAAGGTCCCGCATCAGATGTTGTGGAAGTTGTCACTGATTCAGCACGTAAGTCAGTTACTCCTGGGGGTGTTTCACAAAGATCCCAAGTCGAACTTAACTCTGAGTTGGATTTAATCATTATGGAGAGCCATTTGTAGCCTTTAAATAAAATACATTCAAAAGCGAAAATTCAAGCATTATAGTCTTTTCATAAATTCCACATTAAGAACATGAAATCTCCTTGATATTAAAAAATGTGAATGAATTGAATCAACATTTTATCCCTTTTAAAATAACCTTTGCAAAATATTTTCAAAAATGCTAACGGCTTTCCATAATTGTTAAGTCCAGCTTAGAGATAAGTTAAACTCAGAATCTTTGTGAAACACCCCCCAGATGATGCATCCTTACCAAAATTGTGATGATATTGATTTTGTAATGAAGATTTAAAAAGGACTGCTATAAGTAGATGTTTCTACCCAGTCCATTCACCAAATGGAACCTGCTCCCCACAGAAGTCAGAGAATCTTCATCTATCGAATCATTTAAAGCCAGATTAAAATCCAAATTAAAATGCATGCATCAAAACACCTACGCTTCATTAACACTCTGCTAACTTCAATTTCGTCTGCGACAACTTTATCCAGTAATGGCGTTTGATTACTGTAACAAGCAGATACAAAGAACAAAATTTGTAAATTTGGCATGTGAGTTTTGATATTGAAATTAAGCATAAAAGAAACACTGATGTATGTATATCAGTCTCAAAGCAGTAACCATGTGAGAGCTAAACTAAAACCAAAACAACATATTATGAACAGTTTGAAAACACATAGTTTTAAAATGATGGAACATGTGCAGGAGTTGCTTACTCAATCAGGCTATTGAAGAATGGAGTACAAAACATGCCCCATTCATTTGAATGATACATGTTTTTCATTGTTTTTATTTTTGAGAACATACATGTACATTTACATAGTACATGTATCAGGAAATTTGCGCTGTTGGATCTTTGGCCTAACATTGATTGGACATAGCTAATTAAGCAATCATTTTCACAACTCTACATCATTATTTTTACACCTTATGCTTGGTATTAGTTATCAATGATTTATGTGAATATAAATGAACATTTCCACCTTACCGGTACATCAATTTGAAATTACTCCATATTCATGATGCAAGGAAGTGGTTAATACAGGATTAAATGTAGGCAGGTAAGACCCTGAAACACTATAATTATTTGTTTTTATCTGCTCCAGGTTTTAAAACTTCTTTTCTGTGTCCTTGTTGTCATTGCAGCACCCGGCCCTGTATATAAGCTCAAGGTTGATGTCTATTCTTACCGCTTGGTCCTTAATTGGCAAGAACCAATCCTTACCAATGGAGATCTCACAGGATACAACGTTATAATTACACCAGGTATGCCTGCCTGTCTCATACCTGAGTATCTGATTGTTCTTTCTATCTCTTTGTGTTTATTTACAGCTGTTTTTGTGTTTCTATGTTTGGTATTGTTCTTGATTGCTGACAATTGGCGAACTTGAGTTGTATTCATGTTTCTACGTCTTTTCTCTTCTGCATCTCTCTTTCCCTATCATTTTTTTTTTCTCTCTCTTTCTTTCTCTCTCTCTCTCTCTCTCTCTCTCTCTCTCTCTCTCTCTATTATTTTGTATATTTTTAGTGCATAGCACCAGTTTGCCTGCTTTAAATATGATTACAAGGTTTCAAATGTCATAATGCATTGTCTTCTCTGAGTTGTCCTTTTTTTGTCCCTAATTGTGAGACTCTATTTGTACCAAAAAAAATTAAGAGAGCATGTGAATCATATTCTGAAAATACAGCTAATTTGCTAGCAGAGCGCCATTTTATATTTCTCAAAGAACTTAAAATCTGAATAGATTTTTTTTCCCTCATAGATTTTTGAATGACAATTACTCTTTGTCACAGGTGTCTTGAAAATTTAATTCCTTGGAGTTTTATTTTGATTGTGGAAATTTTGAAAGATTTTGTCCTACACGGTTGTCTTTTATTCCCCTTCCTTCTACAAAATGTTTCACTCCAGTGGTCGATGAGACCCTAGGCGACGAGGAGAACCTTTCCCTAGCAGTCAATGACGATCTTACCCTCATATACGAAGCCAGTCCTGAAACCAAATATCGCGTAGAGGTGCTGGCACTCAATGCTATCGGCGATGGCGAGAAGACCACAGAGGAACCTACCACAGCTCTACAAGGACGTAAGTTGCTCCCCACCGCCCAATTTTATGAAACTTGTTATCAATAGCTATTGTCACATTTCTATAATAAATTTGCTCTCAGCAAATCAAATGCAATAGAGTACAGAAGCTGTGACGTCATAAAAATCGATTCTTAGAATTTCTCAATTTTTTCTTCATTTTCCGAAAGAGCATCAAAAATAATGTCCAAATGTCGAAAACCAATTGAATATGTTAAGTATTGGCTGAAATACGACCATCTGAATAAATATATAACACTGAACTCCTATGGGGAGTATATTCATTCAGATGGTCATATCTCAGACAATACTTAACATATTCTATTGGCTTTCAACATTTGGACATTATTTTTGATGCTCTTTCGGAAAATGAAGAAAAAATTGAGAAATTCTAAAATTAGATTTTTGATGACGTCACACTTCACCACTCTGTGATATTGGTAGCTTTTAACAGTTATGGCAGCTTGGTATTGATTTATAAAACAGGGCCCACGTATTCTCTGCTTCAGTTACAATTGCCCAGGGCTTCTTTTTTTTTGTCAGAGGTGTAGGGTTAGAACTTCGGTTGAAATTGGGTTGTAGGTTAGGGGTTGGATTGAGAGAGTTTGCTCCAGAGGTGAAGTAAAGAACTGGGTTAGTGTTAGAGGTCGACTGTGGGGCAATCGTCACTGGAGTAGTTCTGTTGACTTGCATTTTATTAAACTGTAAATGTCTCATGAAATTTAAGTTGTCCCCAATGAATTAAACACATTAAACTAAGTGTACAATTCATCACTTTTAATACTTACCACCTTCTTAAGAATAGTTGATACGATAAAACAACAGTTGTGTATTTTGGGTGGTTGGTGGCCTCCACAAGTAGCCTCTACTTCATCGTCAGACTACAATTGACATGGAAAATTGACATTAAACAAGTGAATATTCTTCTTTTGAGACATAAGCAAGTGATTTGAGAGATACATGAAGCGCTTTAAACTATCACATTTGCATTTGTTTTCTACTATTTATTAGGACCTTCCAAACCAAGCGGACCAGCCGTAGACGGCATCGCACCCGACCATGCTAACTTCACATGGGATCTTAGTAACCTCAATCCTACTGCATCGGCCATTGAAATCCAGTATAGGAAGAAAGGTAAGACATATATATATATAGCAAAAGTTTTAAATATCTTTGACGCGTTTGAAGGATTTGCAAGGCTATCAAAATTATCACTTACATGATATACCATCATATAATGTGGAGATATGATCTTGCCCTACGATTGGTCAAAAGTAAATCATGTGATGAAAGATAGTTCGCCCATCATTGAAGGAAGAAGAAAAGTTTGTTACACTGTGTAGATAGTACTTCTATCTTCAGTGAAAGTGCATTGTGATCATTTGTACCATCACCTTCATCAACGGTAATTATTTGCTTACTAATGAGATGGTCTCACATTTACTTTAGATGAAACAGAGTAGGTTATTAATATTTATAACCAGTTTTATAAGAGATGTGTGGGTTATTACAAATTATTTTAAAGTTGGAAACATTGCCAATGAGCATGATCATGATAATGATGATGGTGATGACGATGATGATGGTGATGGTGGGAATGAAGATGACGATGATGATGACGATGATGATGATGATGATGATGATGATGATGATGGTGATGGTGGTGATGATGATGATGATGATGATGATGATGATGATGATGATGATGATGGTGATGGTGGTGGTGATGATGATGATGATGATGATGGTGGTGATGGTGGTGATGATGATGATGATGATGATGATGATGATGATGATGGTGATGGTGGTGATGATGATGATGATGATGATGATGGTGATGGTGGTGATGATGATGATGATGATGATGATGATGATGATGATGATGATGTTCATGGTGATGTTCATGGTGATGATGATATTCATGATGATGATGATGGCAATGGGGATGGGGATGATGGTAGTAATAATGATTAAGATAATAATAGCAAGTGGCATGATGATGAGCATGGTGACGATAAAGGTAATGATGGTAATGCAAGAATGATATACAAATGGATTTACTTCTTTGATGTTGAAGATTATTGTGGTTCATCATGATAATTATGACAGTGGTGATGTGTAAGGCTGATTAAATAATCATTAATTTCAATAATCAACTGCAATCAAGAGATTAGGTTCCTCGGCTCATATTCAATTCAATACTTAAGTCCAAAATTTAAGCTTTTTACTCAGTATTTGGCTAAGTTTTTTACCCTAAATTTAAGACAGCTCCCTACCAGACTTAAGCCAATTATTTGGAGGCCTTGATTGGCAGGCATATGGTTTTCTTACGCAGTATCATAACTGCGCACTACTATATCAGCTCACATTTATGGCACATTACTTTTAATTGAACGAGTGATGTCACAATGCTCATCGGTTAGCGGGAAAAAGTGTGTCTTATACACAGAGATTTACGTAACCTATACAGGCAATTAGATAATGATAAGTACAGCTTCTGCTCTCTTCATTGGCTTTGACAGTATATGTTTTACAAATTGCAGTAAGTAGTTATACATAATGAGAAAATACAACAAGGATTTACACAAGGATAATTTCCCTATTTTTTTATAAATACTTTCGCTCTCTCTCTTTGATATTTTTCAATCTCCACACGATTGGAAGAACAAAATCCAATTCCAAGTATTTAATGAACTATAAACATGTAGTACAAACTAATGCTTTACAGTTGAAAGCATTTATACAGAATACCCTGGGATGTTTATATTGTTGATAAAAGCTGACGAAAGGGAGCCTTTGTCCATCAATTCATCAACTTTTTCATGCAATCTAATTAGTGCTTTGATGAGAGGCCATTGCAATAAACCTCAAACAAGGAAAATGTGGGTGATTTACATGCGTGTGAGTGATAACTCCCATCTATCCCACAAAGGATTCCGCATCCATGAATTGAGTGGAAAATACTCAGTAATGAGGCATCAAATTGATGCTGTAAAAAAATACCATGTTGTTGATAAATGAGAACAAATCACCTCCTCCCCTTTCATGATCAGCATCTCTGTTTATGGGGATGGGTCATTTCTCGCGCGGACGGAGAGCGGGAAAAATTTTGCGAGCCTAAAATAGATGAGCTGTACAAATGGCTTATGCATATGGTTATATTTTGTGCATGCGGCTCGATCCATTATCACTAGTCAGCATAATGACATTACCATTAGCTACACCGAGCCCCCAGGACAAAAGGCAGAGAGGGTGTAGAGGGGCTCTTTCTTTATATTCTCATATGATGCATTAGATTTACAGCAAATTTGATGACATTTTTCATCTTTTTATACTACTTTATCCTTTCTTTATTGATGACTCACATCATTGTTTGTTGTACTTTTTGCTTGTATTAGCAATAGCGAGATCTTGGTCTTTCTTCTGTAGATACTATATTTCTTGGAGTCTCTCCTTTTCTCTCATCTTGTTTTAGTTGTTTGTAAATATTTTCAAAAAGAAATAAACTCTTGATTTCATTCACCTCTCTCTGAAATCTCGATCCACTTTTCTTTTTTAGTAATAGCATTTTAATTTATCCTCACAAAATTTGTTTTTCATCTGGTATGCATTTGAATAGTTGGGGATACTATTTTTGGAAAAAATAACAAAATGACATGCGAAAATAAAGAACAAAACAAGCAGAGCTAGCTTTAGTTTATTTCTCATACATTGCATCAGAATGTAATACAATCCTCACAATAATTTGTTTTAATGGATGTATAAGATCCCATTTAATAATATCCAAAGGCCTCTGGCACATAAAGAGACATTGTATCATAATGTGATATGTGCTATACAAGAACAGTTTATTATTGATTAGACCATTTTAGACCATTTGTTCTTTTTTTTATCTCTATAATCTGCTGTAATCCATGGGAGACAGAAAACAGAAATATAAGAAAATTAATGCAAAGTAATATAATTTGTAGCCATAATAATAATGCCCTTTAATAGATTGATGATGTGTGCATATGTCTGTAATGTCAAAAGATTGTGACACCTACATATGTTGATATCATGAATATGATAAGAGATGATTATAAAAACAGTAAGGTATATTATTAATGTCATATTACATGCAGTTATGTCATGTCGGTACTGATTTGAGGCTCATGGACATGGCGTTTTGTGTTTCTTATTTTGATATGCTGTCTATTAATCAGGCCTGCTTTTAATGCACCTTTGATGTATTTTTAATGGGTTTTTAATGGGGAATCGAGAATCAGCACAACACATCCTCTATTAAAAAAAAAGAAAATTAAGTCCTCTTCAATACAAACTACAACCAACCTGTACTTACAATTAGGTTGACTAGAATCTTTAGATTGGTATTCTCCACTCTCATTAGATTTCTGTCTAGTGTGTAAAGTGAAGGGACACTCGAGCTTCTGTGTATAAGAAGTACAAATTTGTAATTATCAAAGTGGACTTTCAAGCTGATTAACATTTCAGCCCGTAGCAAGCAAACAGTACATTCAGTAGCTCTCTCTGTGTGATCAAGCATACGCAGCGTGTTAACGGGAGATGAGATTTTAATTGCTGGATTAATATATGTTCAATGAGCATGTGTTTGAAATGAATCTAATTTAAATGGTTTAGTTGCAGTGATCCAGATTGATTGTGCGAGATGATATATGTTTGATACGGATGGGATTTCAATCGTTTGATTGTACAGATGATCATACTGAGGTCTAGGGAAGATGCATTGGTCAGATGGGTTGTTAAATAACCAGGTGTCATATATGTGCTTGCATTAGTGTGTATACTATCTTTCACATTGAAATATATTCTTACAGTATTATTAGCTGATAAACATATATTTTGATTTTGAATTAATACAAAAAGCACAGATAGTTACTGGAGCACATCCTTCTAAGGAAAATAGGTTGAATTTATTGCAATAAATAAAATCAAAATCAGCAACAGCATAATTATTGTATTATAATCTTAGTACATATTCTATAGACTTTTACACTGAATTTTTTTATTTTGTAGTTATTTTGTTATGCTGTAAGGCTTTTGGGACCTCTGATCATTAATGAAGAAAATTTCACATTGAATGGATACGATATATATTGAAGAGATCTCCTATTCATTATTAGCAGTGCATTGCAAGTTCACCCAAACATACACCCAGATCACAAAGTTATTACTAAAATTAGACTTTGTAAATATGGTTGTTCTTTGTCTACTAAGACTACGTGCCTGTCTTTCTACCGTTGTTTACAGCTTGTGTGGGAGTATGAAGGAGTAAATAAAAGCCCGCCAACGTTTGAGGGGGGGGGGGGGGTCTTGCATTTTTCAATATTATTTGCCACTTGTGTAGGAAGTTTGTAAAGAGCAGTTGAGTATGTTCCTAATCGATTCACTTTGCCCAAGATATCTGGGACCTTATATTTATCATACTAGAAATGCTGTTTGTCTGTAAAAATCTGTGCTTTCTTTGTTGGTTTGAAATCATTCTGTTTTTATCCGGGGCTACTCTCCAGTGAAAACAAATTCCCGGTTATAACAGCTCAAAATTTGAATGACTTTTTTCTTTAAAGCACAATCCGTACATAACATGTTTTAGCCTCTTTAAATTATGTGTTTTGACTCAAGCACTGACCTGGGCCAATATTGGTTCCCACAGATCCACTTTTGGTCATATAGATCTTTGGATCATACCAGCTCCCATCATATCTAGGGCAGCTTGGAAAGACATCACAGAATTTGATTAAACGGAGCTCCAGTCCATGCAGGTTGCCTGCGTCAGATCTCCTCTCTATTAGAAACCTAATGGACTTCGACCACGCTCGCTCGCTAGTCTGCTGTAATGGTTTTCTCAGAGAGCTCAAATTAGGGTTTAGGTTTTGTGGTCAGTGGACGTGTGGTGTTGTTGTTTATTGCAGGTAGGGGGTAGGGTAGGCTATGAATGTGTTTATGCGTGATGTGCAGCTAGGGGAGTGTACTACTTCATCGGGTTTGACTAGAAACTACTTTACTTGGCATTCTCTTCTCTACTCTTTAATGACATGCGGTGTTGTATTTGTTGAATAGTTGTAACCCTTTCAATAGATGTTAGTCTTACAATTTAAGTCAAACTTGTTTCA